TTTCCATTGCTTTGATGACGTCACTCTTCAAGGCTTTTTCACATGATACCTTTCCCTTTACACATACCTGGAAAAGTATAGGACACATTAAGGTGTCAGCTAGCTTTTATTGATACAGACTTTTCGAATTCATTCAGGTCTTCATTTTTTTTCTCTCTCTCTTCTTTTTTTCAGTCAAGGTAAAACAAAAATGAAACAATAGGCTGCACTTTTGCGTGTTGTGCCGGCGTGGCAGTGTGGCGGTCGTGGCGCTGCACAGTGGGCCAGAAGCCGGTGGAGCCGGCCAAAACTCTAGACGCGTTTTGAGCTCCAGAGTCGCTAAATGGGACTCGAACCGAACGTGTGACCCCACCAATGGATTGCTCTCCGAACGAGGAATCCATTGGTGGGGTCACACGTTCGGTTCGAGCCCTGGTTAGCGACTCTGGAGCTCAAAACGCGTCTAGAGTTTTGGCCGCCTCCACCGGCTTCTGGCCCACTGTGTGGCGCTGCCCGTCGTCTCCTTGGCCGACCACATCGGACCGCAGGCCGCAGGGCGCCGCAGGGGTCCGGAGCCTTGGCTGCTCGGCCGCCTCGCCGCCGCCTCCGCCGCCTCCTTGGCGTCGCTTCACACCGTACCGCTCCGAGGCTCCACGCCGCCATCCTCGCGATCCTCGCGGTGACCTACGGCGTCCCGACACATCAGCCGATCGGATCCAATCGCTTCGAATCGCGGCCAGAGGAACGCCGCGGCTGCCGGCGCCGACGGGGACCTTGGGGCCCTCGGACGGGGGAGGGGGGCGACAGGTAGCGGCAGTTGCACTAGTCTGTGCGAAAAAAGAAACGGCGGAGTCCTTTTCGTCGCTGTCTCTCTCTCGCACCTACACGGCACGCCCCATGAGTGCGAGAGAGACAGAGCGACGAAAGCGCCTCTCGGCAGACGGTGCGGGGGAGGCCTCCGAATAAGGGCGACAACAATTAGAGGGTCATTAAGGCGGTCCGCACGCGCCGCACCTCGGCCCTCTCGGCGCGCCCACGCACAGGGATTAACATGACTGATTGGAATTACCGAGGGATTAGCATAACGACGGCTGCAGCGCTGACGAGCGCGTGGGCCACGCCACGCCACGCCACGCCACGCCACGCCACGCCACGCCACGTCACGGCAGGGCACGGCACGGCACGGCAGGGCACGGCACGGCACGGCGGCGCGGCGCCGGGGCCGGAGGTAGGTAGGGTCGGGTCACAGCCACAGCCAGCCGCTTGTGGGTCACACAAACAGTGCCATAAACACACACACACACACACACACACACACACACACACACACACACACACACACACACACACACACACACACGCAGTCCAACGCACACGCTCGGAGAAATTGCTTTGGCAATGACTCAATCAGTGCATTATCACATTACGCCCGGTCCCCGGTCAGTCCGCGGTCGGTCCCCGAGGCCGTCTGCGTCCGCGTCCGCACCGCACCGCGCGCACAGTGCAGCAGCGAGCGAGCCGACGCAGGCAGATCGATTCCGAGAGTCGCTTTCGTCGCTCTGTCCCTCTCGCACCTGCACGGGCCGCCCGTTGAGTGCGAGAGGGACAGAGCGACTCTCGGAATCAGTCCGCTGCACTCTAAATGTAGGGTGCCCAGTAACTGGGCGCCTTTGTCGCCCGCCCCACTTTTTAGGGTGCCAAATGTCGCCCAGTTTCTGGGCACCTTTGTCGCCCAGTCTCGGGGTGGACTAATCATGCAGTAACCGGCCCTCTCCCATGGCAGAGCATGGACAGGTGTCTAGTTCCTGGGCGACTAAGGTGCCCAGATTCTGGGCACCTTTGGCACCTTAGTCGCTGCTGAGCCATGGGTGAAGGCAGGTTCCTTATGGTTTGTCCAACCCAAGACTAGGCGACAAAGGTGCCCAGAAACTGGGCGACATTTGGCGCCCTAAAAAGTGGGGCAGGCGACAAAGGCACCCAGTTACTGGGCACCCTACATTTAGAGTGTGGGTGCGGCCCACGGAGCCATCCGTACGCGTTTTGAGATGCAGAGTCACCACGCGGGACGCGAACCGAACGTGTGACCCTACCAATGGATTCCTCGTTCGGAGAGCAATCCATTGGTGGGGTCACACGCTTGGTTCGAGTTCTGTTCAGCGGCCCTGGAGCTCAAAATGAGTCCAGTTTTGGCCGCCTCCACCGGTCTTCCGGCCCACTGTGCGACGGCGACCCTTGCCTGTCTGGGGCGTTTCACCGACAGACAACACGACAGACGACGCGACCTCTGGAACAAAGCGGAAAGCGCCTCGCCGATGCTTCAAGGCGTCGCCTCCTCCACAAAGAAATAACTCTTTTCTTTATTTTCACACCTCGGTGCGCGGCGCGGTGCCGGGCTGGCTGGCTGGCTGGCTGGCTTGCTGGCTGGCTGGCGGCAGAGGGACCGCTAACGCCGCGCTGCAGCGTCGCGGGGCCGCCAGGCTACACAATGGCACCCATGCATGCGTTCCGAATTCCCCCTTTTCGCACGACGACCACGGCGACGGCGATGGCCTCCAGGAGGACGACACGCCCCTTGCCGCACTCGCCGCCTCCACGACCACGGCGACGACGTGCTGACCTCCACGCCGCAGTGCACGGTGGGCCAGAGGACCGGAAGGAGGTGGCCAAAACTCTAAACGCGTTTTGAGCTCCAGAGTCACTAAATGGGACTCGAACCGAAAGTGTGACCCCACCAATGGATTGCTCTCCGAACGAGGAATCCATTGGTGGGGTCACACGTTCGGTTCGAGTCCTGTTTAGCTACTCTGGAGCTCAGAACGCGTCTGGTGTTTTGGCCGCCTCCACCTGTCTTCTGGCCCACTGTGCAGTGTCCGTCTGTCCGTCCGCGCGAGAGCCGCGGGTCGGCCGTCTCGGGCGCGAGGCGCGACTCCGTGGGGCGAGTCGACGGCGTGCTCGGGTCGGGGCGCCCGCCGGCCCCGCCAGCCCCGCCAGCCCCGCCAGCCACCAGGGCGCACGATTAGCGAAAAGACCGCTTAAAACGAGGCGTGCGCGCGCTTTCACCCCGACTTTCGGATATTCCACCACGGGCACCGCGCCAAAGCACGTACACACGGCGGGGCGGGGCGGGGCGGGCGGGGCGGGGCGGGGCGTTCGGCATAGTAAAACACATTGTTTGGCGTCGCCATAACGCGCGGGCCAAACTATCGCTTTTCTCCCGTCGAAACTTATGAATTACTGGTCCGCGGTCCGTGCCGTCCGCGCTGGCCTGGCTCCGGCTGGCGGTGCCGGCGGCGCCGCAGACTGATCGTTTCCATCCATCGCTCTGTCTCTCTCGCACCTGTAGGGGGCGCCTAGGAGTCCGAGAGAGACAGAGCGACGAAAACGACTCTCGAAGTCAGCCTGCTGGTCCACACCCCGGCATCAGGCCGCCATGCAACAACGGCACCGGAGAAATCGGCTTCGGCAAAACGGTCGTGCTCTAGTGGCGTGTGCGTGTGGTGAAGCTTATTGTGCCCAGCAGAGGGCGGCCGAGGGCGGCAGGGGCATGCTGGGGCCCCCCGCGGGGGCCACCGCGGTGGCGGCCCGGCGCGGCCAGAGCCGGTACCGCTACGGCAGAGCCCCACACAGTGGGCCAGACGGCCGGTTTTCTGGCCCACTGTGCCCCACCATTTTCTTCCCAATGTCAGACACTTCGACCACGTAAAATGGGGAAAAATGTCGAGTCAGCTGTACACTTGGTGTACTTGCAGTGCCTGTCGGCCCTCGCCGGCCCAGTCGTGTCGAACGTGTCGAACGCCGTCCGGGTCGCGTCGAGATACGGCGCCCTTCGGTTCGGCCGAGTACGTTCGCTATGGATTATCGGACTTGGCGTGCTCATTACGTTGACGGCGCGGTGGGAGGCGCGGTGGGGGCCGCCGAGCGAGCCGCCAAGGCTGGGGCCCATGCATTCCGCTTCCGAGTGGCTGGCTGCACTACGTCTATGCGCAGCGCGCCTCCACCTGCAGCCCCCACGCCAGCACACTGCAAGTCGTTTTCATCGTTCCGTCTCTCTCGCACCCGCACAGAGCGCCCCCGTGAGTGCGAGAGAGACGGCGGGCCCCGCGCCAAGGCCTAGCGCGAGCGCGCCTAGCGCCGTGCGCCTCGCGCCCGCGGATCGCACCGCCGCAGCATGCGACTCAATCCAAAGCCATTTCCGCGGCCAAGAACGAGGAAACCAATCCGACTCTGTTTTTATTTTTTAGCCGCTGAAGGGGGGACTTTACTACCTCACCGCAGCCGCTTCTCGCCAGTCAGCGCCAGGGGACACCTTACTCGCTTCGGTTTACGGGTTTTGTCGCCGGAAGGACGCCATCAGCGGGGAACGGAACGGAGCGTCGTTGGCGGATGATTAAAGGACGCCCCCCCGCGGGGAAAGATCGTCTGCCAGCGTGCCGCCGCGGCCGCAGTCCCGCGCAGGCGTCACGGCACTGCGATGCCTTCCTCGGCTTCACTTGGCCTTCCCTCAATCCAGAGGACAGTGAGACGCGCCGGCGACTTCGCGACATTGCGGGGCATCCGGGGTCAAGAGAACGGTTCAGCGGGCCGAAAAAAAGGTGGGCTACCTCACCCTGCGGGGAGTCGAACCCGAACCCACGCCGCGCGGACGACTTCGCCGTCATCGCCAGGGGCTGCGTTTACGCAAGTCCGCCGGCGAGGAGTCCCTGCGGTTCACGACGGGCGGCATCGGCCGGGGCGTGGTGACCGGGCCGATGGCGGGCTCCATGAGGTCGGGGCACGGGCAGCCCGGCCGCACGCCGCCGGGGCAGCGCTGCATGAGGGCGCTGGGCGCGGCGCGGACGGCGGGGACCTCGCAGGGGCTGCAGGGGGCGCACGGCGCGCAGGGTACGCTCACAGGGGGCTCGTCCGCCGCTGCGTACAGCTCCACGGGGTGCTGCACCTCGCGGGGGCCGTCCCTGGGGAGCACGCCGTCAGACACGCGTCTTCGGGCATCCGAACCGCGAGCGGTGTTGCGCAGACCAGACCTGTCGCAGTAGTAGTTGAAGGCGAGGAGGTGGCAGGGCCCGTCCGGGAGCTGCGGCAGCGGCTGCGTCCGCGGGGCCATGACGCAGGGGTCGCGGACGGGCAGCGGGCCGTCGCGGCCGCCGAGGAGGAACCGGCGGACGACCTGCAGTGGCCTGCTCACGTCGCGGAAGCCCCAGCACCACCACGCCGTCATGACCGCCACGCTGCACTGCCAGGTCGCCGTCGACCGGGGCGGATCCAAAGGCAGCCTAAGTAGCTCTTCTTCCGACTTTTTCGCCCATTTACAGGGGCAAAGCGTGCACTTAATACTACCTTTCAGGAGGCTACCTAGGGTCCAACGGAGGTTCAATTGTCCTACTGCCCCCTACCGCATCCGCGCCTGCCACCGACAATGGCCCCAACAAACACACTGGGGGGTCCGCTCCGCCGCTCCGCCACTAGTTGGCGGCTTTTGCTTCATCGCGGAGTGATAATCCGGTAGGCCGTGAGAGTGAGAGAGAGACAGGCGCTGCAGCCTTGGCAGCCTTGGGGCTTTCATCGGCCCGGCCAGGCCGGCCAGGCCAGCGCGCCTAGATTGAGCTCTTTCTTTCCCTTTCCTCCTTTTTTGCCTTGACGTCAGTCCAATTCCATTGTGATGGCAACTCCATGCCGCTGCCAGTCATGACCATAGGCCCGCCCAATCTTTTTCGCACTTTTCCTTATTTCTCCGGTCCAGCCAGGGCTCCGTCGCTCTGCCTCTCTCGCGCCTCTACGAGGCACCCCGTGAGTGCGAGAGAGACAGAGCAACGAAAGCGCGGTTGGAAATCGGCTGCCAGCGGGGGCACTATAAACGACGGGGAACGGACTGCAGCGAAGGTGAGCGGCAAGCACGGGCTAGAGCGCGCGAGCTTCCGAAGAACTCGCCTCGGATCGGACGAAATCGGATCAACCGGATCGGGGGCTTTGGAGCCAGCAGAGCAGACTGATTCCGAGAGTCGTTTTCGTCGCTCTGTCTCCCTCGGACTCGTGGGGCGTTGCCATGAGAGCGAGAGGGCCAGGGCTGGCCAGGGCAATGAAGACGACTCTCGGAATCAGTCTGCAGGCCGTCCACGACCACTCGAGCAACATCGACGCGATAAAGATCCGGTCGGCGCCAGAGTCCACACGCCGTGCATGGAGTCGTTCACACACGGATTAACACTGCAAGTTATTTTTTGCCGACACCGCCGCACTCTGGTCGCTATGTATACCGCTGCGCTTGTTCTGGGAAAGACTTGACGCATTTTGCAATCAACAGTTTATGACTGATGTTCTTAGGTCACTTTACTTCATCAATTAATCAAGCAAAAGTTATGACTCTGAACGACGAAGGTTGCAAAAGCTACACTGCCACAACCACATCGCCCATACGGGACAAGCAGTACGTACGAACGAGTGATACTAATGAACGGAACAGATTCATCACACGAGTCAATTTGTAGTGGCGAGAGAATGACAAAAATCAATGTCAATGACACCACGAACGAGTTCCTACAAGGCAAGGACGGAGCGCGGCCAGTACCAGTCTGATACCGATCCGGTGCTTTCGTCGTCGGTCTGTCTCTCTCGCACCGATACGGGACGCGCCTCGAGTGCGAGAGAGACAGAGCTTGACCGGCGCCGCTACCTAGGGACGGGCGATTTTGCGATTAATCGCAGGTGCGATGCGATTTTTTCAAAAAATCGCGGTGCCATTTCGGTTTTTGAACCTCGGCGATTAATCGCAAAATCGCAAAAAATCGCTAAATCGCAAAAATCGCACCGTGCATGGATTTCGCGACCACTGCACCGAACGAGGCTGGCGCGTGTTGTCGGTGCCACTAGCCTGCCATTTGACCACTCAGGAATTTGTTTTGGCACTTTTTAAAAAGATTTTGTGCCATAATGGGTAGTATATAAGTATTGTTGCGTTTGTTTGCGATTTTTGCGATTTTGCGATTCTAGCGATTCTTGCGATTTTTGCGATTTTTTGCGATTTTGCGATTAATCGCATGAAATCGCGATATATGAGAAATCGCAATCGCGATACTAAAATTTGGAAATCGCCCGTCCCTACCGCTACCCCATCCATCCCCCGCAACGAGAAATCACTTTTACCGGCGCAGAGGCGAAGCGGCGAGGCGCGGTCAACCAGCATGATTGGCGGGACGGCCGGCGGGACAGCCCGAGCAGCCAGCCACGCCGGCGCCTGGCGCTGCTGGCAGCACGCCGGCAGCACGCTGGCAGCCAAGCCCCGCCACTGTGCACATCCTCGGCGGCGGCCTGACCAGAGGGTTTTCACTTTCGCAACGTCGCGTCGCGTGGCGTTCGTGCCGTCATGGCGAGGATGTTTCGCAGCGGTGACGCCGCGCCGCGCGCGCTAAAGCGATTGCCAACTAACTTTACATGGCATGCGCGCCAATTTCACAAAATGTACTATAGGCACACTCTAAAAGTCTTATAATAAAGATTCACCATAATGAAGTGAAGATTTTGCGGTGAAAATTCTCCATATTGTGGTTCAGATTCTCCATATTGTGGTGATGATTCTCCAGACCTAGGAAAAGTGGACACCGTTTTCGCGGTAGAATCACATTTTTAAAAATCAATCTTGACATTTTGTCGCGTTTTCTACGAACGAAAGCAGCAGGAGGCGGAGTTGTTTTCGAGAGCAGCGGTGTCGCGGCGTGCCTACGCCCCTCCGGCTTGCGAGCAGCGCCATATAGTGGCGGCGGGACTTGAACACTTAAGAACAATTTCTGCCCCACCTATGTAGACCGGCCGAAGGCCGCCGGGTTGGTAGCCTGTTCGGATATCACTCGACTTGGTGATACACGCGACCCCGACAGAGTTCCAATTTGTGCCAACAGGTTCGGCCGCTTGTACTCCAGACGCGTTTTGAGCGCCAGAGTCGCTAAACAGGCCTCGCACCGAACTTGTGACCCCACCGATTAATTCCTCCTTCGAAGAGCTATCCATTGATGGGGCCACAAGTTCAATTCGAGTCCCATTTAGCGACTGTGGAGCTCAAAACGCGTCTAGAATTTTTGCCCCCTCCACCGGTCTTCTGGCCCACTGTGCTACGTAACACAAAGCGTAAACGGGCCGTAAGGGCAGCGCGGCATCCACGGCCCCAGAGGAATGGGGTCCCCCTGGGCCCTGCTACGCCCTGCTGGGGTCCAGCGAGGCCTAATGGGGGTTTAATGGGGTCACGGGGAGTGCAAGCACACTGGAAGCACACGACACGCGGCAGTGTAGCACAAGCACCTTGTGCTATCGAAGAAGGCTATTCACCGGCGCTAGCGCCGGCAGGCTGATTCCGAGAGTCGTCGCGCTGTCTCTCTCGCACTCATGGGGCGTCCCGGGAAGGTGCGAGAGAGACAGCGCGACGAAAACGCCTCTCGGAATCAGTGTGCTGCACCTCGCCGATCCCGGCGTCGCCGCCCCGCGCCCCGCAAAGACAATGCCCATTCTCTCCCAGTATATTTGGCCTTCTACACTGCCCCGGCCGACGACGCGGCGACGCGGCAGCGCGGCAGCGCCGCCAGGCGACCTGCAAATTGCCAGTCTTTCTATTATTTGTTTTCCAGTGTGGGGCAGCGGCCCAACGCCACAGCGGTGCGGGGTGGCCCATTTCTTTGGCCGCATGTCAGCCCGGCCGGGCCATCATTGCGGCACCGCATCCTGCGTCCATCCTGTGTCCGGCCTCGTCGCCCTGTCTCTGTCGCACTCGTGGGGCTTCCCATGAGGGTGCGAGAGAGACAGAGCGACGAACCGCTCTCTGCCGAATGGCTCGGCAGGCACGCCCGGCATCCCGCGGCCTGTGTGCGCTGTGGGACCCCCCGGCTTGGTGACAGGTGCGGATCCAGGTTTCTTGTCAGGGGGTAAAGTGCTGCTTTTGGCCGACTTACAGGGGCCTATCTTCCAGGCGGCCGATCCAGTACCCGAGGCGGGAGTAAATAACCCCCATTGCTTCTGCCACTGAACTTCTCGAAAGAATTGGAAGGAAACACTACTCATATCCGATTCTAGAATGCAATGAAACGAGCAATCATCTTCGGCCCTCCTCAAGACATTAATTTCACTGTCCCCAGAACGAGGTGAATTTATTAAGCTGTCCCACCGGAACAAATTGGTTTATGAGTTCCTGATTGTCTGCTCGCTGGACCCAGTCGCATGGTCAGCAGTAAAAGATGAGAGTGGACTCCGGCCGAAAATAGTCCCCTCATCACACGACGCGTCCTTTTTCTCCGTCGCTTTTATGGCGGCAAGGCTGGCGCAGCTTGAGCCGCTCCGACTATGGATGGCAGGGACAATACGGCGCGGCCACGGCGACGCGACGCGACGCGACGCCCACCGGACGCGCCCCAAGTCCATCTCCAGTCGATCGGCGACGCCCCCGCTGCAGCTTCAAGGTGCCCTAAGCGCCGCGGCGTGGCGTGGCGTGGCGTGGCGTGGCGTGGCGTGGCGTGGCGTGGCGTGCCTCGCCGTGCGACACCGCCCACTAGCGAGAAGGACGAGGAAGTCTTTACGGTGCTCGTCGTGTTGCACGCGACGGGACAAACTGGGCTTGTTTGGGCGTCAAAACAACAAAAAACAAAGACAACACAAACGCGCGCAATAAAGAATTGACGTTCTTTCGCGCCGGGGCGGGGCGGGGCGGGGCGGGGCGCGGGGCAACGCGGCGCGTGGTGCGTTCGCGAGAAGCGCGTTTGCGGCAAAACTGGAGCACAATGAAAAGAGAAAAGAACTAATTGCTCCAGTAGCGAAACAGACTGCAAGCGCTCCACTCCATTCCGAGGCGCGGCGGCGCGGCGGCGGAGCAGTGCGCTGGGGCTGTTCAGGTACGCAATTTCCAGCGCGCACGCCCGCACGCCACGCCACCCCGCCCCGCCCCGCCCCGCCCCGCCCCGCCCCGCCCCGCCCACGGTACGGTTCGTTGTCACGGTGCATTCTGCCGGCGCGGCGGCCGAGTCCTTCTGCCCCAGTCTGGAAACGCGCGTGAGACTGGGGAAAAGACAGGGGAAGCCAAGGAAATCGAACTCCACCCACACTCCAAAAGTCGTATAGTTAACATTCTCCATATTATGGAGAAAATTCTCAATGTTATGGTGGTGCAGCTGACTTCACAACTAACCTCTGAAAATTCAATGTACCTGATAGATAGATATTTTGTCAAATTCCTTTAGAATTATA